GAACCCAAAAGGGAATCAACATCTGCCGCTGGGCAGGCAGACAGCCGCTCTCGCGGGCGTGGTAGTCGGTCGGTCGGGCGGTCGGTCGGCCGTTGCCTTGGCAGCGAAGCTCTTGGAATGCTGCTGCTGCTGCTGCTAGCGCGCTGCTGGAAAGCAGAAGCCGAAAAACTAAACTAATGCTCAACATTTATCGATGATGACGGTACGTGCAGGGGGTGCGAGCCAGCAGCAAGACGCAGCCGAAGGAGCTTGTGGAATTGACCCACAAATATGGCTATAGATAATTATGTTAACCTCTCTGGCGCTCTGTCTGGCAGCGCACAAAGATTGTCGCGCATCAGATAACGTGCGAGATGAAGAGCATGCTGATAAGATAGTCTGCTTGGGGTAAACTGGTGCCATGAAACCAATTGAAACGACTTGGATCCTCAAGCCCAGTGTAAATTCAGCTAAAGTTCAAGTGCGAGTAAACAAGAAAATACAGCTGAGTGCATAAGGCTGAGTTAAGATCATGTCCAGAGCAGAAGGTAACGGATGAAGTCATTGTGGCTATAAACATGCACAGACATGCACAAACAAGCATGCATCTGCATGCATGTGTGGTTTGTGTGAGCTTGGGCTAGAGTTCAGCTGAAAAGTATGCAGTGACTTTTATGCTTAACGTAGCGCATTGTCGCTGGCCACACACACAAACACACACGCACACATGTGTAAAATGTAAATTCTGTGCTGTGCATGTGTGTATATGTGTGTGTTGGTTGGGTGATAAAGCCATAGATATAACTTGGCCTGCATGAGTGTGGATAATGGCGCGGCGAAAAGTCGAAACGCACACAGCACACACACACATRCACATATATGCACACCCACACACACACACATGCGCGCACATAATAAGGTGCGATTTGTCTCGCGCATAAAACGAAATTTCCTGCAAATACACACAACGAAACACGCTCACACACACACAGACACACATAGTTGGGCAACAATGGTCGCACAGCAGGTAGAGCGAGAGAGCGAGACAGAGAGAGAGAGAGAGAGAGAGAGAGAGGAAGAGGTATAGGGCGCCCAGTTTCGATTGCTTTGTTGCTTGTATATGACAGCGTGTCTTTGTGCGTGCGTGTGCGTGTGTGTGAGTGTGAGTGTGTGGGGAGGACATCTTTGTAGGTTAAGGCTCATGTCAAAGCTGGCAAACTGGTGCGACAAAAAGGGCGTAAGGCTTTAGGCGTGGCAAACTCGTTTGCCATAATTATTGCCTTTGTTGTTGCAGGCGTGTGTGTGTGAATGTGTATGTGTGTGTGTGTGTGTGTGGGTGTGTGCATGTGGCATTATTATTTTAACCGGAAATGTGCGTTCTGCCCTTTTCCCCTATCCGCCCACAAACAGCAAAAATTTGTGAACTGCATGAACTTTTTATACGCCATGGGATGTAGAACAAGTGGGGTATGATAAATGGGCAGATAAATAAACCAAAAATCGAGAAAACGGCAAAATTAAAGATAATTTAAAAAACTAATATTTCTAAAAGTAAAAATTGCTTAAATTGCTTTGGTAACATTACTATAACATTTTTACAGGATATATGCTAGTTGAGCACTCTAATTTGTATGTATATATTTTTTGCATTGGCGGAAGCTCTTGCTCCGTGCCGGCGACAACATTTAGCAAATTTTTTATGACAATGTCGAGCAAGCTCTCTCTGCTCTCCACCCTCCCTCTCTCTCCCTCACGCACTCTCTCTTTCGCTCATTCTCTTTTGTGCTCTGCTTAACCTCAGCTGCCGACAGCGCCCACTTTTATGACAAATATTATGTTAAAGACCGAATATGCGCTACGCCATAAAAGTCAATCATTTTTCATTTCGCTTTGCGCGTCGTTGCCAGCTGCGCTGTCGCTGTCGCCGTCGCCGTCGCAGTCACAGTAGCCGTCGCTGAGCTGTCCGTCAGAGTCACTCTCGCAGCGCCATTCACACAAAAACCAAACGTCCCGCTGCCGGCTCAGCTGCTGCCGCTGCTGCTGCTCCTGATTTTGCCTTTGGCTCTGCTTGATTTTGCCTTTCTTCTCTTTTCTTTCATTCTTCTCTGCTCTGCTCTGTTCAGTTTTCTTTTTTTCTTTTTTTTTTTTTAGCTTGTCCGCTGGGGACATTTAATTTTTGGCGGTCATTCGTTGTGATTTTCCTTGATATGCGATATAGTATTTTATGTACAGTGTGTGTGTGTGTGTGTGTGTGTGAGGCTTGGCTGAGCGCTTGTTGTTGATATTTGGCGCGGCTTGCTTCAATTTATGTGCTGTTTGCCTTTATTGTCGAGTTTTACTTGTTCCCATTTTCAATTTTTATTTTGCGCTCTTCCCAATCTTTTTAAAGGACCTTTTTTTTTAGGGTGCGTGGATCACATTTGTCGTGTTGTTGTATTGATAAGTTCATTTAATGGGCACGGCCTTTGCCCACGCACAAACACATATACATAAACACACATACACACACACATACTTCTGTGTTTGTGTGTGTGTGGCATTTGTTTGAGTGCGTTGCGCCTAATGAGTTTAATGCTTTGTTATCAGCGCTGTAATCTGCTTATGTAATATGCGGCCAAAACTTCAACATAATTGAATCACATTTTATGTCATTTTGACTTTATTTATGTATGTACGGGTGTTTGTGTGTGTCTGTCTGTCTGTGACTTTTTATACATACGCACACACACACACACACACGCATATGTACACTCACGAGAGTTGAAGGCCTTGGGCGCAACTTTAAACGCATTAATTGCCAGATTGTCTGCGATTGGAGTGAGTGGCAATTAAGCAGAGCGCAGATAAACGTTTTAATGGCAAATGCTTAAGTATTTCGCTACTGACTTAATGTTTGCATACATGTGACATGTGTTAGAGCGAGATAAGTACAGCTGCAAGGTGATCATTTAAGCTACAGTATAGTCCCTCTAATACCAACGCTGGCTTATCAGTACAAGCATATTTTAGTATGTTTTCCTATAGTCATAATTTATTGACATAAATATTAAATTGAAATTTCGTATTTCAATATTGGGATAGGTTTAGAATTGTTCAAATTTAGAGGCTTTACTGTAAATCCGAAGCATTATTTGTAATTGGTCAGCTTACATTGCAGCTTAGCGTGGCATCTGACCGTGCATTTGAGCGAGACAGAAATAGCACAAGAATTTGAGTGTATTGTATGTAGTTGATGTAAGCGCCACTTGGAATTATGTTATAATCACAATTCAGCTTGTTGGAACGAGATAAACATATAGGCGAAATGATCTTAACGAGCTTTCGTTAAATATGGTCGCCATTTGCCATCACTATAGTAGTCTGATTAGCCGGTTGGCATAGCAACTTTAATGCGTTAGAGCGAGAGCAAAAACGCTGCGTAGCCATACTTATATTTAAACAAAAACTCATAGAAAGCTAATTTATAGCGCTTCTTTAAACATGCATTTTATTACAGAAATTAACTAATTTTAAATGTCTCATCAATTAGCGTAGCGACATGAAAAGCAAACCATTTAGCACAGCAATTGTCACAAAGCAATTAGAATGGGGAAGACCACACCTGATCGGTTTCTGTTTGTTTTCAGAGCATTTTTTGTTTTTTTGTGTTTTGCTTGTAATGCAGTCGCCGGGACACGTGCCGCGGGCCTGTCTTCCTCTTCTTCTTTTGCCCATCACGTTGGCTGTCAATGACGGAAGGCCACTTTCATTTTGTAGGAAAAGCAAATGAAACTTAACGGAAAAGAAAATTACATCATGCTCGTTTCAATGGGTCGACATAATATTATTTTCCTTCGTTTTTTTTTTTCTCTTTTTTTTTTGTATTATTTCTGCTCTTCTTCTGGTGCGCACCCACTGTTTGAGCCATATACACGTGCAAGTTGGCTCTCTCTTTGTGTGTGTGTGTGTTTGTGTGTACTTCATCATCGTCTTCCTTCTGTCGATTTTTTATTTATTTATTTTATGCCTACGCACATACGCGCCAAGCAGTTTGACAGGTGTCGCCGACTGAGTGGCTGCCTGATAGGAGAGGCGCGGGCGGACAGGCGGCTATGTGCGTGGAGGCGTGGTCTCTGTGTGTGAAAGCCTCGCGGGGTAGTTGGCATGGAATGAAAAATGTCGCCCTATTATTCTTTGTATTGTTTTTATGCGGCAGTTATACGCTTATTTTTGTTGTCTTTTAATAGACGTGGCAAAGTGCGCCCAAAAGACAAAGGCAGCCGAACAAGCGCTGGGGCTACTTTACCTACTCAATAAAAATAACAAAAAAAAAAAAAAATAATAATAAAAACGGAAACCCCCTCGCACAGACACAGGCAGACAGGCCACACCCAACCCCTGTGCCTGGAGCCTTCGTCTGCTGGCGTTTTATCATCATCCAATCAGTAGATAAATAACACATAAAATGAGGTGCTTAATCGGGTTTGAAGTGATGAAAGTGAAACTGTGCTTCTCTCTCTCTCTCTCTTCCCCTCCCGTTTGCCAGCCTGTCTGTCTTGCGCTCTGTCTATCTGTCGCCAAGGGGGCTGGGTCCTTGTCTTCGGCATAAATCTAAGGTAACAACTTTATATTTGTATATCAGTTACTTAAGAGCTTGTCAATTGCGCGTGACAACATAATTTACCATTAAATTGTACGCGTAGACAAGTAATTTGTCAACATTTATTTGCATTACATGCGAGAACAAGTTAATACAATTGATTGACAAGCAGCCACGCAGCTAATGTAAAGCACGCACAATTTAAATATTGGCGCGCAGCCAAACGAAAGAGTAGTTAACGTCTAATTTAAATTTCACGAGCAACTTAACGAAAAGCTAGCAGATATACAATTTAAATTAAGCGCTCAACTGAACGATAAGCAAGCTGAAATTATAACAGGTTGGCAGCATATACGATATATAATTTGGTGGTTGATCGATCGGCCGCCACATTAACAATCGATAAATCACACAGCTGTATTGTTTTTTTTTATGGTGTGTGCGCTCTTAGTAAGCAAAGTTATTGTACGCAAACAGTATTAGAACCGCTGAAAAAATAAGAATAACAATTGGAAATAAATTAAATACAAGTCTATTGCACAAGCAATAAGAATTAAGTGTTTATAAAATTGAGTACATATGCAGCAGTCGTTAAATAAATAGTATTAGTTGACGCCTCGCCGCTGCAGCAGAACACAGCTTGGAAAAGGCCAGAAAACGGCCAGGTAATGCAAAGCAAAAAAAAAAAACTAGACAAAAAAAGTGCATTAAATTAGCATAATATTAAGATTAAACTTTGTACAGTTTATTTCTTGCGCTGTCCAACATGTGACTTGTTGAGCATTTATTGATTTTTATGTTAGATTTCTATAAATATAAATCAGAAGAACAATCGCCACAGCGAATGTCTCGACGCTGACAGCTGTTATGGCTTTAAAAAAGCTAAACAACAAAAATACTCAGACCGCTTATCAGGTGTGAAGAATTCTAAATTGATGTGTTTTTTTATCGGTCAGCTACGCATTTATTGCGGGTGGTTATCATGCTAACGCCTCTTCCCCACCCACAAGAAGCTGTTAAGTGATTCGAGCTGCTAATTGATCCAATTGCTTGTTAATCAATTTTCTCTACGATTTTGTGGCTCAATAAAAGCCACTAGGCAGCTAAACAACCGACAAAAATCTATATGCTAATAACGTAATTATCATTTCACTTTGATTGCAGAAATGCCTCTTTAATCAAAATCAAATCAATTGTCAAAACAGAACATCAAAAATGAAACAGAAAAGCTGGCGACACAAGCGTAAATAACTAAGTAAGAATAAACACACGTTAGCTAACGGCAAATAAAGATACTAAAACGAAAGCAGGGAAGATGCTTGGACGCACGCAGAAACTGCTGCTGGGACTGGCCATCCTGTTGCTGGTCAATGTCCTCTGGGTATCATCCAGCGAGCTAAGCAAGGTATATATAGAAGAGACTCATGAAAATTTAAATTATTTAAATAAAAATCTCCATCTCACGCAGATTCTCTACGAGGACGATACATATAATAAGCCATTCTTTAGCACCTACTTCAAGACGTCGATGTTTAGCTTCTATTTGTTAATCATTGGCATAATAGCGCCTTGGAAGGAGTCGTGCGAGCGTCAACATGGCAACTATGCGGTTTGTATAGCCTAATAGATGTTCTATAAACCATACTAATCTATTTAAAATACCCCCATTTAGATGATGGAACAGAATGCCGATGAGGAGAACTATTATAGCAATCAGGCGTCTTTGGTTGGATAATCCACTCTTGGCTCTCTGATGGTTTCTAACTGGTTTCATTTGCCTTTGCAGGGGGATTCGACCTTTGTGCCCATACGTGTGGCCAATCCTATAAATGGCATTGTATCCGGCACGGAGAGCGATGATTCCAGTGTGCGTAGTGTTCGCTTTTGTAAGATGGCCGAGGTGCGTGAGATGTCGGCGCATGAGGCAACGGATGCTTTGATGGCTCGACTGTCGTATGCCGCGAGCATGAGGATTAAACGACAGAAAACACACCACAAGACAGCAAAGACGGCGTTGCTCTTCTGCTTACTCTGGTTCGCTGCGAATTACTTCTCACAGCTCGCTTTGAATATGGATGAAGAGCCCATGATAACGCTCATCAGGTTGAGTCATATTCACTTCACTTAAATAAAGATGTTAACTAACGGTATATTCTTTTGCAGATCCACTTCAGCCACATTGTTTACCATATTGCTAGCTGCCCTATTTCCGTCTGCCATGGGCGACAAGCTGACTATAACAAAGCTAATTGCTGCAACAATGAGCATTGCCGGCGTCGTGGTCATCAGCATGAATGATTTGCACGACTCGAAGATGACTCGCGGCGTTCTTTTGGCTCTGTTTAGTGCTTTCTTCTATGCTTCGTATTTGGTGTTTGTCAAGCGAAAAAGTGACACCGAGGAAAAGGTGGACATTCCCTTGTTCTTTGGTAAATACGACAACTAAGTCCAGGGTATCCTCTAGTCGAACAGTCTCGACTGGATCATTCTTATTTGCGTATAACATTTATTTTGCTGGCATTACAGGCTTTGTTGGTCTTTGGAATCTGTTGCTGCTATGGCCCATTTTCTTTATATTGCATTTCACCAAGATCGAAACATTTGAGATGCCCAGCCAGGGACAGTTTGGCATGCTCTTCTTAAATGGCTTCATTTGCACAGTCCTCGCTGTGGCTCTCTGGCTGTGGGGCTGTTTCCTCACCTCCTCGCTAATTGGCACGCTAACCATGTCGCTGCAAATACCCTTGACAATTGCATTTGATGTTCTGCTCAAGCAAAAGCCGTACTCTTCATTATATTGGATGGGCTCGATAGGTCTGATAATGTCAGTGCTGCTTGTTGTGTTGCTAATGCGCAACGATGATTCAGATCCGCTTATGAAACTATTCAAAGTATTATATAGAAAGATCTGTGGTTGCCGCAACCCAAACATTGTGAGGTAATATCCCATGCTATATTTACATTTTGGTGTTTATTCTTAATCACAATGTTTAAATTTATAGAGTTACCGACGATGAGCAACAGGAATCTCTTATCAATAGCAGCGATTAAAGTCTGACTCTTGATTTTCTGGAAAGGCTTTTGGAAATCGCGCTTTCTCAACAATTTTAAAAATTGCTCACTGCAATTGCAATGCAAATCCAAAACTTGGCTGTTCACGACTTCGTTTCGAATCGTTCTTTAATCCATAGCGACAAATATATATACACATACATATAATATATATATTTATATATATATACATATATGTATGTACGTAGTTGTAGTTAATATTTCGCACAACTCTCATATATATACATTTAGCTATAGAAAAATTTTCCTGATTGACTTTTAAGTTGAAACCCTGGTTTTCCTGATTTGCAATTTTACCTACAATTAAGCTAATATATGTGTATATCTTATATTTATTATAAACGTTATTATTTTTTGTGTAAATAGCTGTAATCTTAGTGTTTATCTCTCTATATGTGATAGGTCTTTCGATATGCTGAAGCTCAGTTATAATTTATGCTAAATTTAATGTTTTTGCTATAGTGCTCGACTCTATAATTGATATTTATACACTAGCATATATATATACTTGTACACATACCCTCCATACTCAATTCTAACATTTCTAATGTTTTGTGTGGGATATACTTTGTATATCATGCATAGAACACTTTATGTATTAATGATATATACTGCAAAATGTGTTAATAATATAGTATAAATACCCACACATAATAATATATGTTTAAAACATTGTAAAGCTGCCTAACTTTGCAGTTGAGTCCCATTTGTGTGCTTAATTTAGCATAAACATATACATTTATGCATAGTTGTCTATTGTTAACAATAAACAAACAAAAAATACAGTAATATTTAACCCCAATACTGAATTTCCACATGTAATTAATAAAAGTGCATTAGTGTGTATTTAAATTCAGTTTTACTATTGTCAAACAACAGCAAAAAATTCCACTCCAAATAAATAAAAAAAAAAAAAATTTAAAAACTAATTTTTGCGCCCACATTTATAGCTGCTATCGATATTTCATGAAGCTTTACAGCACTAAAATGCTCTCATCACTGTTGAATAGCATAAAGAGTCTCTGTTACTTACAGAGGTGCAGCGGCAACTAACATAGATGAGCGAACTCAGTCTGATTCTAGCGTCTCAATTGTGTGGACGTGTATTCATTTTGTGGGAAAAGAAAAGTTGGAATAAAAATGAAGTTTTCTCTGGCTTTGTGCCTGATTGCCATTACAGCCGGCATTGTGGTTGCGGATGAGAGCAAAGGACCCAAAGTGACCGACAAGGTAAGCACAAACAACCACATACACACAATTACGACTATATTGTGTGTACCTGCGTCACTTGGTATACACAAACACATAAATCAACTGCGCGGCTGTTGTTTTTGTTCTCTCTTAAATATTCAAAAAGTATTCTTTATGAATGTGTCTTTGTTGCGTAGGTTTTCTTTGACATCACCATTGGCGGTGAGGCAGCAGGTCGCATTGAGATCGGTTTGTTTGGAAAAACTGTGGAGAAGACCGTGAGGAACTTCAAGGAGCTGGCTGAGAAGCCACAAGGCGAGGGGTAAGTGAATATAAACACAGTTAGAATTCACATAAACACACACACACGCAAGTAGTTAAGATAGCTGTAGCTGTATGCATACACATTATTTCTATATACATGCATGTGTGTGTGTGTGTTTTTCTATATAGCTGCATTTATAGGTTAGAGCCGGCGTGTATTGCTATCAATTACGTGGCCTTTAACTGTAGATGAATTAACAAAAGAAGGAAATTAAGTTATTTATCAACTGAGAGCTTACACTAATTTGTCTATTGTGCCACTGTGCCACTTCTGCTTATCATTTCTATAGCTACAAGGGCAGCAAGTTCCATCGCATCATCAAGGACTTTATGATCCAGGGTGGCGACTTCACCAAGGGCGACGGCACTGGCGGCCGTTCCATCTATGGCGAGCGCTTCGAGGATGAGAACTTCAAGCTGAAGCATTATGGCGCCGGCTGGCTGAGCATGGCCAATGCTGGCAAGGATACCAACGGCTCGCAGTTCTTCATTACCACCAAGCAGACCAGCTGGCTGGATGGCCGTCATGTGGTCTTTGGCAAGGTTCTCTCCGGCATGGATGTGGTGCGCAAGATCGAGTCGAGTGCCACAGACGCACGCGATCGTCCCGTCAAGGATGTGGTCATCGCCAACAGCGGCACCATTCCAGTTCCCGAACCCTTCGCCGTCTCCAAGACTGATGCCACAGAATAAGCAATATCTATATATATTATAAATATACCTACCACTCGCATATATACATATTAGTGTGGCTTTTAAACGAAATGTCTTCTTGAAACATAATCAATTCAAATTATTGTCTTGGAGCGTGCTCTAGCATACATCAGCAATCGATTTTTCTCAGCGTTTGAGTTGAGAATTGCATTTAAATTAACAATTACAAATAACAGCAAAATACTATACTGTAAGCGACACACTCTCTGCTCAAAACAACAAACTTTTTCTCAAATTTTCAATGCATTATAATTAAAGTTTTGTGATAAAAAAAAAAAAAAAAAAAAGCAGCGAAGAAATTTTGATTCGTGTTAAGGGATTGGTTGGGTGCTGCGGTTCATTGAACTGGTTTTTTCATTACTACTTGTCGCTATCTCCCTCTAACGGAACCGGTTTAGCAACAGCCGCTTCTTCTGGTGCCGCGTTTGCAGCTGACTTTGTCGCTAATTTCTGTTCCCTGTTTCTTTCCCTTTTCTTTATTGTGCTGCGCTAGTTTGTTGCTATTGTTTAATTTGTTTGTATTTTTTTTATGTATCAAAAAAGCTGACACAGTTGTCTGTTTGCAATTCGTGTCACGTTCTTTAGCGGCAGAACGTCAACGAGCTGAGCAAATATTTATATATATATTAATGCGTTTGTCAATGCCAATTTTAGCTCACGAAGTTCTAAAGCAGCCTTGGTTTACAACAAAAAAAAAAAAAAAGATGAGACACTTGCTGACTAGCATGAAACCAGTTCTTGCACGAATCCAATCAGAACGATGGATACCAATAAGATATTGCTGCGCTTTCGTTTTCTTAGGTCTTTGAATGAATAAGAATTATTATTATTCCTTTTCAATAATACTTACTCTTATGACTACCCTTTTAATTATTATCATGCATTTGCTCTCTTTAAGCCTTAAGTTCAATATAAATCAATCACACTCAATGCTTATATTGCCATTGAATTAAAAATATAAAATATTATCTAATCGCCATGCGAATCAGACTGACTGGTTACAAATTAGAAAACATCGTTATCAGACCTATTCTATTATTTTAACCCATAAAAACTAAACAAAACACTTAATTGTTTACATTTTCCATACTCTAATGATGCACGCAGTGCATCAACCCCAAAAATATATTCCAGCTTCCAGTTGCTGGTCGCCTATTCCAATTGGAATATATTGGAATATATGGTATAAATGTTTATACAGAGCGCATTAAAACTGAGAAAAGTAATGATGATCCGTATATATTCGGCGAGCAGTTGCAGCAATTAAATATATGTATATGTAAATTAGTCCACTTGCCCGCTCCAGTTACATGCAACAGAGAGCCAATCGGAGAGAGAGAGAAAAAGAGAGAGCGAGCGGATCTTACTTCGAGTGGCTCCCCAATATATAAAAAATTGCCTCAGTCAGTGCAATTGTATCCCCCATTTGTATAGATGGTATATACATATACATATATGCATATGTGTATTGTTTATGTCGGCTCACAATCTCATGTGCCACATATGTTTCCCACATTCAAAGAGAGAGAGACTGCGATAGGGAATGAGTGAGAGGGGGAAGAGAACTACTCATATGTACATCTACAATAACCACAGAAATTCTAAGATTATTTACTGCGAGCGATCGAAGCGAGGAGACAAAGTGCTTGCATGGAATATTCTAAAGAGCCGAAAGAAAAAAGGATTGTGGAACGAAAATCTTGGGAAACTGCATTTTCAATTATAAAGGATTAAAGACGAAAGAGTGTTAAGCTTAAGCAGTTTACTATGGTGAGTTATGAGTGCATTATGTGTAAACACAGAGCAGATCCGGCAATTTATATATATATATATATTTTTTATTGATAAGCAAACGAACTGAGAGCAGTCGCTGATGATGCTATTGCTGCTGCTGATGTGTACCAATCAAATCTTTCTAAGACAAACATAATTGAATTTCTGAATTCATTAAAGATTGTGAATTTGTTTGAACTAAAAACTACATATATATTTTAATGAAATCCAAATCTAATCAAACAGGAATTTGCATAAAAAATTTTCAAAAGTCTTTATAACAGCAATGCCTTTAGTGCTATATGGGTGAAAGCATTTGATTAATAAGCGTAAGCTTAGTTAGGAGAAACAGAATGATTTATATAGCGATAAATAAGGAGCTCATAGGCAAGCTAAGAGGGCAGAGAATATATTAGAGAAAGGGAAAACTTTACATAAAAAGAGACAACTTAGCGATAAAACTGAATATTAAATGAGGTAAATAAGAAGCTAAGCACGAAACAAAGGCAGTATAGAGCAATATCAAAGCAAGAAAATACAATTGAAATTGAAGACCATACAATATATGTATAAATCTAAGAACTTTAGCAATGGAAGACCGACTAAAGCTACTTACAATTTACATATATCTAAAAGAGAATTGCAAATACAAAATATAAATATAGTACAATGTAATATAAATTTAAATAGGTAACCTACCTGATCTCCATATGAATACATTCATCTATTCACATATACATTATACATATATCTTTATCCACTCCGCATTAACAGCAATCGAAATCATGGTATGCGCTTTATCTAGCGCTGCTCAGTCTGCTGCTGGGATTGGGAGACTGTCGTGGCGCCAATATTCTCGTGCTCTTTCCACATGCAAGCGAAAGTCATTTTGCTGTGATGCGCACCCTGGTGGCCGAGCTGGCAAGCAGGGAGCATAATGTAAGCAACGCTAAACGTATATATATGTATATCGAGGCTCAAGTGATTCCAATCATCATATCCAAATCCATTGCAGTTAACTGTTTACAGCGGTCATGGCCTGAATGATAACTTGGAGCGAGTCGTGGAGCATGTTGTAAGGCCAGAATTTGACTTTTGGAGCAACTGTAAGCAAAACAAATAGTGAGTCACATATAGAAGTAAACATCGCCCTCTTTACCACAGTGCAAGAGCAAGCAGCACCAGGTGGCAGCCTTGAAGATTTGGCCCTCTTGTCCGAGAGCAAACTGCGCAGTTCCTTGGCTTCGGTTGGAGCTCGAGCAGTGGAACACTTTTTGGTGCAGGCTCCGGTGCAGAAGCTGCTGGAGCTGTCCACTGCGGAATTCGATTACGATCTAATCATTGTTGACTATTTCTATACAGAGGCGCTGCTCGCATTGGGCTATAAGCATAATAAACCCACAATTGGCGTAATAAGCACGGATTTTGGCAACTATATGAATGCGGTGCAAGAGGCTTTGCTGCCCGTTGCCTGTTCGCCCATAGATTACGAGGCGTATACCAAGGATTTGGGTTTCTCGGCACGCTTGAGCAATATACGCGAGTGTATGGCGAGACGTAAACAATTTTACAATGAACATTACACGGCACAGGAACAAATAATACGAAAATTCTTTAAAAGTAAGTTTTCGACTTGGCGGCAGAAACTCTGTCAATGACAAAAGTTTTTATTGATGTGGCAACACTCAACATTGCTTTAATCGATACTCGCTAATTTGTTAATCATCGATGTATTTATGCCTAAATTGTTTTGAATTTGAACCTAATGCAGCTTATTGAAATTTCGTGCAGTTGCTGTTAACATACCAGAACTTCAGGCACATCATTTGGCACTTTTACTGCTTAACAATCATGTGCCGCTCTGGACGCCACGTCCGTTGCTCCCACAAATTGTGCCAGCTGGTGGGCTGCATATACGCGGTCCTCGCGAATTGATGTGGAACGTCAAACGATTTGTGGAAGAGTCTAAAAACGGAGTCATCTACATACAGTTGGGCAACGAGCAGCCCTGCGGTCAACTGCCCCAGGCGAAGCTACAAATACTCTTTGATTTTATGAGTGCTCGGAAGGAGCGTTTCATATGGACCTGCCACGATGTAAAGACCCTGCCGGGCCTGCCCAAAAATGTGCTCATTCAGCACTCTGTGCCACAGATTGACATCCTAGCACATCCCCACGTGCGCGCTTTCATCATGAATGGGGATCTGTTGAGTCTGCAGGAGGGCATTACGCGTCATGTGCCGATGCTGGGTTTGCCTAATTTCCGGAATGAACGCAAAAATATACAACTTGCTGTGGATCTGGGCGTTGCGCTGCAACTGGAGCCAAGCAACTTTACGACAGTCGCACTCAACTGGGCTCTGGATGAGTTGACAAAGCAACAGCATTTTCAGATTTCCATTCGCGAGGTTTCCAGCGAATTCCGAGATAGGCCTTTGGGCGCCTTGGCCAATGCCTTGTTCTGGGTCAATTATGTGGTACGGCACAAGGGCGGCGCTGCAATCAGGACACGTGGCATTGATATTGCCTCTAATCATTTGCACCTTTTCGATTTGTTTGTATTTTATTTCGGTGTGGCCATTGCTGTGTGTGCCGTATTGATAGCCATCTACTTTGGAGTCTTTTATGCCATGCAAAGAAAACTTAATGATGCCAAATTAGCAAAACTAAGTTAAATTTACGTTTGAATTTAATAAAAGCTAAAGCAAATAAAATAAATAAATATGTTTGAATTAATTATTTAACCGATTTGAATTTGCGCCATTTACAGAGTTGCACTGCATCCGATAGTCAGGTATACAATACAACCCTGTCAAATTAAAAGTGCTGCCAAGTTTTCGACAAACGACGGTGGCCATCTTCCTTTCTAAAGAATCGCGTTCGCAAATCAGACGTGTTTAAAACCTTTTCGAGTGTTTTAAAAGGTAATAAATGTTTCAATATATGCGCAAATGCCTTAAAAATGTCCTACATATTGTGTGAATGCTACGATATATGAATGCAGGCTGACTAAACGTGTTTACGGCGTGTGGTGAGCGCAGCGTATCACACGTGGAGTCTCGAGTTGCTCAGCGGAGCTGCTAACCCATTGAGGTTATGTTGAAAACAGAAACAACAATAAATAGCCTGTGAACTGTGACAATATGCAAATTGGTGTATAAAATCCTAGTCTAATTTGTGTGTGTATGTATCTTGCAGCTCCGTCAAAATGTCGACTGGTACAACTGCCACAATTCGCACCCGCAAGTTCATGACCAACCGTCTGCTTGCCAGGAAACAAATGGTCTGCGATGTCCTCCATCCCGGACTCTCATCGGTCAACAAGACCGAGATTCGTGAGAAGCTCGCCGCCATGTACAAAGTGACACCCGATGTTGTGTTTACTTTCGGTTTCCGCACTAACTTCGGTGGTGGCCGCTCCACTGGCTTTGCCCTGATCTACGATACTCTGGACTTTGCCAAGAAGTTCGAGCCCAAATACCGTCTGGCTCGTCACGGTCTCTTCGAACAGAAGAAGCAAACACGCAAGCAGCGCAAGGAACGTCGCAACAGAATGAAGAAGGTCCGTGGTACCGCCAAGGCCAAGATCGGTACCGGCAAGAAGTAAAACAATCTAGCTGGCACATCAATATGATATTGTGTGTGTGTGTTGCTGGTGGCGCGCACCTGCAATTCCAAAAATTAACGGCTGCGTTAGTTGTACTTCTTTTATAAATCCAATGACAACAAAAAAATCCGTTGTTTACTTTTTGGAGCGGCTTTAGTTTTATATGCTTAAGGAAATAAAACTCTAAAAGTAAATTACATTCATGTCTTCGCATATCTAAAAGTGTAAAATTTGAAATATACAGAATTGTACATATTTAGCTAACTTAAGGCAACAATTGCCGTAAACAAATACATAATGCATTTTTAGTTGCTACGACAGCGCTGCCATACTTGTCAAAGTACAGCACGTTCTAAGTGGCAGCACACAATTTGTAACAGTCTGGCCACATCTGCCGAGCCTTTCAACCCTACTAGCAACGCTACAAAAATTTATTTGCAAAAAAAAAACGAAACCGGAAAAAGTTTCATATACAGAAATTGTATAAAATTGTTATAAATGTCTATTGCTAGGCTGGCCAGCATAATCGACAATTATTCGTAGCACCGGCCACACAACTTTCAGTTTTGGGAAATGTCGATTTTAGGGAGTGGAGGTGGTGGCAGTGGAAGCAGTGGCGGCGGCAGCGGCATCAGCGTCTCGGCTGGCGATTGGATTTGCCCAGATATTGAGTGAGTGCGCGTAAAGCTTCAAGCGTAAAGATCTATGGGCAAAATGCAAAGCATCCAGCACTACAACAACAACTACAAACTACATACTACCCTTCTATCTCCCTTTCTAATATAACCGACAAAAATGCAATAACAATATATTTGTTGTTTTGTTACTCTTATTCTTCCTCCAACCGCATCTGTGTGTGGCATGCGTCTCTTTCGCTCTCTTTCTCTCTCCTACTCTCACTGAATGTGTGTTGCAGTTGTCGCCATTTGAACTTTGCGCGTCGCCTACAATGCAACAAATGCAATCGGGAACGTGAAAATATCAACAATGAGAAACTCGACAGAGATCGAGATCGAGACCGAGGCAAYGGCAGTAGCGGCAGCAGCAGCAGTTCTTCCAAAAAGAAACTGGGCACAGAGATTGGAAAAGTAGCCGCAGACAAATCACGAGGACTATTCAGCGCAGAGGATTGGCAGTGCAGCAAGTGTGCAAATGTGAATTGGGCGCGACGGCAGACTTGCAACATGTGCAACGCGCCCAAATTCACAGATGTGGAGGAGCGTACAGGTAAGTAGATGCAGTAGATGCCATAAAGTTGCCAACTAACTGAATCCAATCGCTGTCAGGCTTCGGTGGAGGCTATAATGATCGTGGCGTTGTTGAGTACAAGGAACGTGAGGATTCGGACAGCGAATATGATGAATTTGGACGGCGCAAGAAGCGCAAAAATAATGATAGGGGTGGCGATGAGGATAGTCGCAACAGAGGCAGAGATGAGCCGAAACGTGCACGACGCAGTGATATTGAGGGTGATGAGGATGAGGAGGAGGACGATGAAGACGATGATGGAGACTTGTCCAAATATGATCTGTGGGGCGACAATGAGGTGAGCTCCAGCAATGTGAAGAGCAAGGAAACAGACAACGGGACTAGCAACAACAGCAGCAGCGCCAAGGAGAAGCTAATGCCAGGAACAACTGCCAGCAGTAAAAGGGCATCACGTGCATCCACCTCGTCCATTTCCTCATCATCCTCAACCAGTTCGTCCAGTTCCAGTGACTCATCGTCAACCTCCTCGTCGAGTAGCTCTAGCAGCAGCAACGCTTCCAATAGCAAGCGTGACCGGAAACGTTCAGATGGACGTTCCCGCTAGGGACGGGGATCCACTCGATTCGAATCTCCGTTGGAAGAGAATTAATCTTGTTTTTTCTTCACTTTATTGTGAAAGCTAACAATTGTTTATTTATTTTTCTAAGCCTGCGCCACTCACCCATGACATGTATTTGAGCTCCCCCACTTCAAACCCTCTGCAAGAAAATCAATAAATTCATATAATTTAAGAAATTGTCGCTCGACTCGACTTTATTGCAAGTAAACTATTTAATGGAAGGTTTCATCCGATTGCTTGCGTGTAGCGGCTGCTGCTGCCTCACGCAACTCTTGAAGCTGTGCTAGCTGCTGGCGCGCCTCCTCGATCTGCTCTTCCGTGACAGTTACAGGAACATCGCAATCGATCTGCTCCTGGCGGATGAATATCATCTTCTTGATGGCATCCTCTAAGAAAGGTATTTGTTGCTCTTGTAGTTCTTTGTGATAAGCCTCTAAACGCTCATCCTTGATTTTCTCGCAGTAAATGTCGGTTAGCTTCTGCAGCGACTCTTTTCGCGTTATCCAGTGGAACTTGGTTGGCGGTGGCTTATAGACCAAGTCCAGCTTCTCCAAAATCCACTCGAAACGTCGGTAGTCCCACCGTCTGAGATATTTCAAAAACTTCTTACGCTTGTCGATCATTTCCTTTAGACGCACTTTGATCATCTTGTCGCGTGGATGCACCTCCATGTGTGACTGAAAGCGTCGTATAAGTGCCGTCATCCTGGCCACTATTGCAGGAGTAGACAATAGAGAAAGGTAATATCATATTTAATCCAATTCTTTCCATGTGGTGGCTTACAAATGATTTCTCATAAACTACTTACATTTGGCCTCCATAGAGCCATAGTCTTGTGCATGTCGCTGCACTTCCTTGATCATTAGGTCGCGATAATAGCGCGTTGTTAAATTGTTCGGATTATTCCTAAGCAAAAACATGGATTTGACTGTTTCATTGGCACTGCAAGAATATAATATTATTACATATGTTTGTAGATGTATATTCATAGATTACTAACTTGGCCAACTCCTTGGAATCTTTGTAATCCGGCAACAGTTCATTGGGATTCAGCGGTGGCAGCTTGCCCAGATCGCCGCTCTTCTCTGGCTTTATGCATGATATCTTTTCGGGTCGTACCCATTTGATTTTCAGATCCGACTTGAACGCATAGTCACGCACAAATTGGCGTGGCACAGCGTGTGCTATATTTAATAGCTTATTCATAAATAATAATTTTTAATATTACACTTTGCTGCTTGAGGTTATATCACTGAGCCAGTGTGCACACACTCGATTAAATTTATTTACGACCACACCAGCTGACTTGAAACAGTGTGACCTACTATGCGGAAATACTCCAAAACAGCTGCATTAGTTGTTGCTTTTTCCTTTTTGTGTGCGTCTGTTAATGAGACCAGAAAGTAAATTAATTGGGAAGTTGGGAAATATCAAACTTTTTTATTACATTGGATTTGTAATATTTTACAATGGCGCACATGTCACATATGCTACCACAAGCGTCAACAACGCCAGTCGTTTCAACTGGCAGCTCGTCTCGTACAATGTCGCTTATGGAGAAACAAAAATATATCGAGGATTATGATTTTCCCTACTGTGATGAAAGCAGTAAATACGAGAAAGTGGCAAAAATCGGGCAGGGTACATTTGGGTAAGTTATAGTAACCAGCTTATGTCAAAAATGTATTTTCTTATTGTTTCGTTTACAACGCAGCGAGGTTTTCAAAGCACGTGAAAAAAAGAGTAACAAAAAATTTGTTGCCATGAAAAAGGTGCTTATGGACAATGAAAAGGAAGGCGTAAGTAACCACTGATGACATGAGGGAATACTGAAAGAGAATATATACATATATTATTTGGTAGTTTCCCATCACGGCTCTGCGTGAGATTCGCATCTTGCAACTGCTAAAGCACGAGAATGTGGTCAATCTCATTGAGATATGCCGCACCAAGGCTACAGTGCACAACGGATATAGATCGACTTTTTATTTGGTCTTTGATTTCTGTGAGCACGATTTAGCTGGTCTGCTGTCCAATATGAATGTTAAATTCAGTTTGGGAGAAATTAAGAAGGTGATGCAGCAGCTTCTCAATGGACTCTACTATATACATAGTAATAAGGTACGTACATATCTTAAAAACATAAATGATTTAACTTATTCAGAATACATTAACAGATTCTACACCGCGACATGAAAGCTGCCAATGTGCTGATCACAAAACATGGCATTTTGAAACTGGCCGATTTTGGTTTGGCCCGTGCATTTAGCATTCCTAAGAACGATTGTAAAAATCGTTATACAAATCGTGTTGTTACCCTGTGGTATCGTCCGCCGGAATTGTTGCTGGGTGACCGCAACTATGGTCCGCCTGTAGATATGTGGGGAGCGGGCTGCATTATGGCTGAGATGTGGACTCGTTCGCCCATTATGCAGGGCAACACAGAGCAGCAGCAGCTTACCTTTATATCACAGCTGTGTGGTTCCTTTACCCCAGACGTTTGGCCGGGTGTCGAGGAGCTGGAGCTGTACAAATCGATTGAGCTTCCAAAGAATCAAAAACGTCGTGTCAAAGAGCGTCTGCGTCCGTATGTCAAGGATCCCACTGGTTGCGATTTGCTAGACAAACTTTTGACTCTGGATCCGAAGAAACGCATCGATGCGGACACAGCACTGAACCACGACTTCTTCTGGAACGATCCGATGCCTAGTGATCTGAGCAAAATGTTGTCCCAGCATTTGCAAAGCATGTTCGAATACCTGGCGCAGCCGCGTCGCAGCAATCAAATGCGCAATTATCATCAGCAGCTGACTACAATGAATCAGAAGCCACAGGATAATAGCATGATCGATAGAGTCTGGTAGATTGTAAGCCCTACATTAAGTTTAGATATTAACGTATACAATTGTAATTGCTGTATATGCAGCGATTTGAAGAATTTCAGATTCAAATGTTTATCAACAAAAAAATAAAAAATATATACTGTTAGTGCGCAAAACAAGCAGAAGGCTTGAATGGCAAACATTTCCATACAAAACCAAAAACCAAATTATTTATGAATGGCAAATGAAGGGAGCTGCTGGAAAGGTAAATATTTTCATACAGAATAATGATAATCTTTACTTTGAGCTGCATACCGACCGTGCGTTAGAGCATATTAGTGTGTACACACTCATGTCAATTTTTTGGTATTTTTTAGGCCCGTTCTGGACGAGATGCACATTGAACAAAAAACGAACAAAGTGAAAAAGGCAGAGAAAAAGCAACGACGCAGCTTGGCAATTATAAAAGCCGACTGTAATGTCTCGCAAAATGACTCGCCCACCCTCTACTTGGCCATACTCAACGTAGGACTTAGCAATGGACTATCCGAAGAGGCGCTGCTCACCGCAGCCGCTGCAACAGGCGGTCAGGTGTCTCAGGTGCTGATGTTGCCTTCGAAATCGTATTGTTTTCTTATGTGCACCACATTGGCGGATGCGCAGCTAGTGTACGATGGCATGCATAATCGGGCGACCATTGGTCAGAAAGGTGCCGTTGCCTATCTTAGCTATGTGTCGGAATTGCCGCAGCAAAGAGAAGAAAACGGCTGGCAGAAGCCTCTGCCAGGTGGACTCGTGCTGTTGCCGGATTTCGTCAGTGAGGCGGAGGAGGCAGCGTTGCTAGAAGCAATTGCTGTTGGTGCTGCCAGCCCTACGGACAGCCTAAAGCACAGGCAAGTCAAGCATTTTGGCTACGAGTTTCTCTATGGCAGCAACAATGTGAATCCGTTACAACCCCTCGAGCAGGGTATTCCAGCAGCTTGCAATTTCATGTGGGAGCGCTTGGAGTTGCCAGCATTTGAGCCACCCGATCAACTCACAGTCAATGAGTATGAACCAGGACAGGGTATACCGCCGCACGTGGACACGCATAGCGCCTTCAAGGATCCTATACTGTCGCTGTCACTGCAATCTGATGTTGTGATGGACTTTCGTCGCGGGGATCAGCTCGTGCATGTGCTGCTCCCACGCCGTTCGCTGTTAGTCATGTCAGGGGAGTCACGGTATGATTGGACACATGGCATCCGACCGAAGCATATCGATGTAGTGGCCACGCCATCGGGCAGTCTGACAACTCAAGCACGTAGTAAGAGAACCTCTCTTACCTTCAGGCGCCTACGTCGTGGTCCTTGTGATTGTCAATATCCCACGCTGTGCGATACGCAACAGACGGCAACTCCTCAAGAGGTGTGTGATAAGCTGGCCACCCATGCCAGCCACCTGGAGCAGCAGAATGTACATGAAGTCTATGACAAGATTGCAAACCATTTTAGCGATACGCGTCACACACCCTGGCCACAAGTTGCCGAGTTCCTGAACTCTTTTGAGCCACAATCTGTGCTGCTGGACGTGGGCTGTGGCAATGGAAAGTACTTGGGCTGTAATCCTCAACTGCTGTCCATTGGCTGTGATCGTTCGCTGGGCTTGCTGGGCGTGGGAAACGCGCGTGGCCTTTCGGTCTTTCGTTGCGATTGCTTGCAGCTGCCTGTGCGCAGCTCCAGCATCGATGGTTGCATTAGCATTGCGGTAATCCATCATCTGGCTAGCAGCGAACGGCGGTTAACAGCACTTAATGAGCTCTGTCGCGTGCTACGTCCAGGTGGAAGGGCGCTCGTCTATGTCTGGGCCAAGGATCAGCGTAAGAACGATAAGAAATCGACGTATTTAAGGCAAAATACCGCCGTCAATAAGGAACACACGACGGAGCAGGCGCAGCGTCAGAAGCTTGCACGACAGCTGGAAAGCATGGATCAGCAGTTGCCAGTTTCTTTACCAGTGCACACGAACCGAACGGAGTTCCAGCAGCAGGATGTCTATGTGCCATGGAAAACCAAAGATGAACAGCGTACAACCTTTCTACGCTACTATCATGTGTTCGAGGAGCTGGAACTGGAAAAGTTGGTGGATCAAATGGAAGGAGTTGTGATTAGGAAAAGTTACTATGATCAGGGCAATCATTGTGTGATCTTTGAAAAAAGCTAAAATTTAAAATTGATAGATAATATAAGACTAAAGACAAACCTGTTTCAAGTTCTATGTAAATATGTTAATCAGACTATCACTTGATAATGTAAATGCTGTAAATTTTTCAATAAAAATATGATTATGCAACGTAAATTCTATAAATAACTGAAATGCTCTTAATTGAATGAATTATTCCGTTTATTTGATTTCAAAAAATACACATCCACATTATATTTATTTAATAGCGAATCGAACGTAGACCAATTGTAAATTAATTAAGCTTAACTCTGACCCATTCAAATGGTTTATTTATAATTATTTTGTATTTTTATTATTATTGTAGCTTTGGACCATAAATTGACAATTCCTTAATAACAACATGTGTTCCGTTCGATAATCCAGTTTTTCCTGTTATATTTGGTATGGATTCTATTTTAGATGCAGGGATTAAAGAGCTTATTGAGTAGGTACATGTGCGGGTGTCTATATACATAAGAATTAATTTAGACAGAAAGTTGACAGTTTATAGTTTATATAGTAGTTAGTATAAGTTATTAGGGGATTGCATTAAGCAAATATATTGCTTTAAAAAATTGAAATAACATAACTAAAATGTAAATAACTACCTAGAGAAGAGAGAGCAAATGGTTTTCTGTGCTGCCATCAGTTCTATATATAATTCATATAACTATCATATACTAGGTACATCAAGTGAAACTGTTTGAAAATGCATGCTTAACAACTAAAAGGATACTCATACATACACCTATATTTATATGTATATATATATATGTATATATCTATAGAATTATATTTCTTTAAAATGACGTCTTTATAATAAACGTACAAGTACAAGAGTTTTAAAAACACTTAGAACTCATCCTGGGCACTTTCTTACTTGACAATTCTATATTACAATATCGTATTGTAGGAATTTAAGTTTATAGACTAGTTTTACAGTTTCAACGTTTCGTTTTTGGTCGTGGGTATTTGATATGTTAGCTAGTAGTAAGTAAGAGTAAGTTAAGTTAGTAACGCTTTCGACTACCTTCAATTGTTCTTTGTGCCTACAAGCTATATAGTGGGGTTCATTCTCAACTACCTCTAGGGTACATACGTGTATAGACTACTAGTGAAAAACATAGAGGTGTATATAGATGTATAAACATGTGTTGGTGCCCTAGGTTTTGGCTATAGCTAGTCATATTCAAGTGTATGTGTGTATATGTATATAGATATAGAAGAGAACATGTAAAGATATAKATATATATATATCGTATATAACGTCATCAACAGGTTTTCAAGTCTGCCTATGTCTAGGGTTAAACCAGAAATTCTTTGTAATATATTAAAGCCTGATAGTTTACTTGTTTGTCGTTAAAGCTGATTCATCAGTTGTGTGTGTGTTTGTCTGGTTATAATGGCTTATAAAACACATCATCTATAGTTCGTATATGTATACTTCAGTCGTTGTTGAATATACAAAGCTTTCCTGCAATTTATTGATGCCCCTCTTTCACTTCCCTTCATGGTTTGGTACATAAACTACGTCTATGCCTACGTCTATTCCTAGTAATACGTTTACAACTAGTTTTAACTGCCTGAAGCGGCATTTAAATCCCGTTCAGCTTCACCGAAACACTTATTTGAGCAGCTGGCATACTTCTAAACCACAATTCCATCTGAGTCAAGGATAGCGTGTGTGTGTGTATGTGTGGGTGTGAGAGTAGGTGCTAAGGATAGTGTAAGATTTGCGATTGTGACTGGGGGTCCAGTTTGCCTTGAGTGAGCGCGCTTAGATAAATGTTTCGGCTGCCATTTGTTACAAGCATTCTGCCAGCGGCGGCTTCTCAATGGGCGGCGATGGGCCCGACACTGAAACCATTGGCACGGCGCTAATCTTCGGCTTGATGATCTTCAAGCCAAGGCCCAAATTCTTGGGACTGCTGTGCGGCGATGAGGATGCCGTCGATGAGCGCTGATGCACCAACACACGCGGCTTTGCCTCAATAGCAATGCTGGGCGTGGAGGCGGCCGAAACGGAGGATGCTGTAGCCGTTGCACTGGCCAGCAGTGGAACGTGCACCAGTTCCTCCACAGTTTCCGCTGAATCCTGTGAATCGTGCACCAGAGCCGATGTATCGCTGTGTATGAGAGCTGATATCGAGGTGGCATCATCATCTTGCATATACGGCGGTGGAGCCTCCAGCGAAATGCTGCCCACGATAACGTTGGCCGTGGTTATGGCAGAGGAGCGAGCTAGTAAGCTAGTTACGGCTGTTGGCGATTGTTTGGCGTCGTGGAGTACGGGCAGCGTGAGCAGTTCACCGGCATTGGCGCCACACTCCTTCATCTCAATGTCCTGGGAGGAGTTTTGCTGCTGTTGCTGCTGGACGGAGTCATCGTCAGTGCGCCATGGACGCAGACTCTTCTGCAAGGCAAATATTTCATCAATAAGATTCTTTGTTTTATCACGACGGTTTACCCTGCGTCCATTTTCGGTGATATTCTCTGCACTCTTGGCCTTCCGGCAGAGCACACTCTGTGAGCCATGGCGACGCAGGAACTCGATCGAGTCGAATCCGCGACCCTCCGACGAGACGAATATGGCCGAGTTGATGCGACTACGTGTGCAGCGCTCCGATATCGATGTGGACCGCTCCTCGGCGAGCATATGGATGTGCTGTAAGACAGAGATTCATTAGAAAAGTAGTTGTATATTGAAGAATAATTGTTATCTTTGCAGTTTGTTTCTCTTACGCGGCTATTGCAGTGCAACGGTGGGTGAGCAAAGGTGCCGCCACATTCACTGCTGTCGAACTGTATTCTCAACGATATATAGAAGTTGAATGATAGAGAGAGAAAGAAAGAGAGACATGGAAGAGAAAGAACAGATAAAGAGAGAGACCCATAGGTGGAAAACAAAAACAAAATATCAGACTATACACGCACACACTCGCACGCGCGCACACACACATACAACTTGTAAATCGAAGAACAGGAATTTCAGAGACGAAACGAAGTATATATCCTCTTCAGGCGATTAACAACAAGAACTACAACAGAAGCAAGCGAGAAGCTTAAAGCAACAACCTGCACAATACTCTACAAAAGCGATACGAAAACTGTGAGTGAATTGGTGTCTTTTATTTTTATTGTGTTGTTTGGAATTGGCGGCTGTGTTTTTGGCTGTGCTCTGGTGAAAGTCTAGTGAGAGTCTAGAATTGGCTCTCCTCTAGCTGTACATGGTGTATTGGTGTTTATGTGCTAAGTATTTATATATTGGGTGCTCAAATATAGTTTCTTTTTGTTTTTCAACGCTGCAAACGCCGGGCGAACAAACGGTAAAACGGTTTAAACGGTTAAACGATTAACGTGCCCAACACGAAGTGCATGGCGTTTAGTGCAATTATCGGAATCGATAGGCGAGCGAAACGGAACGAAACGAGCAAGCGCAACGATCAAATGAACGAAACGAACGAGCACAAATAAATGTGAGCGAACGCCCAAACAAGCAATCGGATGCGCTATATCGTTTATCGATTGGCGTCTCGAAAAGCACTTACGCTGGCCGGTTCACTGTAGTTGCTGTGATTGAGCATGGATGATTCGGTGTGTATGGTATCGCTGGCGACCATGCTGTGATACTTTTGCAGCGTGGATGATCCACGGCTCTCGCGCGATCCATCTCGACTGCGATCGGCGCACGAATACTGCCGCCGATACTGTCGTCGCCGGCGCCCCACATTGCCCGCACCGGATATGGAGCCTCCAACTCCATATCCCATGGCGCCGTGATTGAAGCCGACGCCGGCAGCGCCAACGGCAGTTGGCCCATAATCAGCGTATGCCAACGGTCTAGACGGCAACGGAGGCGGGCGAAAGTAGCTGGGATCATAGCTGAACTGTCGCCGTCGCCACTGATCGTATTGCCGATAGTGGCTGAAGAGGCGCCTCCGACGCAAAATCAATTGCTTTTTGGCCTCGAGCACCTCGTTCTCCTCGACAAAGGTGCGCTCCTGCGAGTTCTTCAATATGCTGCGCTGCTGCGCAAATCGACGCTGCTTCGTATGACTATTGACCGAGAGAGGCAACACACGCTGCTGTGGAAGCTGCGGCTGCACTGATGGCTCCCGCTGCAACAGTAGCTTCTCATCCTCGGCTGGTTGACAGCCATCTGCGTCCACATCTGTATCAGCATTTCTTATTGGTACAGCGCTATCTATGCTATCCATATGCTCCAGCACATTGGACTGATTATCGACGCTGAGTCCGCGCACATACGTGTTGGTGGGCGTGCCATGGCTGTGGCTGGCGGTCGCTGTGGGCGTGGCCGCCATTTCACGATGCACTGGTTGCTAGCTCTCCACATCCGCTTTATGCAGCAGCGCAAACTGACAGCCGCAATCGCGCTCGAGCTCCCGTCGCGGATACTGAAAGCAGCGATCGAAGATGCCGCAGCCCTCGCAACGGGGCAAGCACTGAGTGCAGCGCATTTACAGTAGAAAGATATAAAGAGAAAGAGAGAGAGAGGAAGAGAAAGAGAGAGACAGCGGCGAGAGCAGGAGCAGGCGAGAGCGAGCCAAGTGTATTCATTGGGTGGAATATTAAGAAACTTTTGTCAGTGATTTTCATTGAAAGCTCGAAGAACCTCAACAAAGCTTCAAAAAAAGCTTAAAACCAAAACTGCTAGACTAATTACGAAATATGTATAGAAAATGCAAATGGGGTAAAAACTTTTATATATATATATTCATATATTTAAAAGAGTGCTTCCATGCGCGGAACCATCAAACATRTACAAATGGAACAAATGGAACTGGTTCATTTAGGGTCAACCGCCTGGGTGCAGCTCTAAATGTGACTAAAATAATTTATGGAATTTTGAATTTAAACATTTTTTTTTTTTGCTTTGATTGAAAAAAGTTGAAGCGAACGTTTCTAAGTAGAAGAAGAGTAATTAAAAACTATCTTCGGTGCACACCGAAGTGAGGGTACTCTACAGAAACTTCAAAAGAAAGCGTGTTAGAGTATATTTTATATACTACAAAATCGATCAAAGCAAAATCATATTTAAACTAGAAATAAGCTTGAATCTTAGGCAAATTATAATTAAGTAGAAGTTGAAAAAGGAAGGTGAAACCTATTGTATATAATTGTTCCAATAATCATTTACAATATATAGGTGTAAATATGTACGGGTCGTATACATGACATGATAGCCCGACAAAGTATGCTATATTTATTTGATGTTAATTCATTATAAGTTTGGCATCTATAAATGATCTATGTTTGGTTTGAAACAGACAAATATATACAGGATTTTTACAGCTTTGACTAGGAAGGCCCAAAATGTTTCTACATTCAATATAATAAATTAAAAAATAGATAATTTTGTCAGTTTAAGCTTTCCAAATAATCTGATAGAAATCGTTTTTTTTTTTTTTAAGTAGAAGAAAAGAGAAAATTGTTGATAGAGTAGGGCTTGGTGCACTAGTTTAAGAAAATTGTGCGCATTTTTTTTTTATATTTCCATAAATACAACTTTTCATATTGTCTTTACTTGACTTGTTGTACAAAGCTAATAAAATGCAAAAGAAAAAGATTTTTTTTTTTTGGTTCGTAATGCAGTAAGTATTTGAGAAATGAAAGATTTTTGTATACCTTGACAAAGAAATCGGGGTGTAGGTTCTATAAATAAAGCATAACAAAAAAAGGAAACAGTTAAAGTTCATTTCGCGCTCAGAAAACAGAACAAATACTTGTTTTATTTTATTATTATTATTATTTTTTTGTCTGCCCTGCGTAATCCGCCCACATTAAATACCCATTAAATGCCAGCCSACTATAGTAAGCACATACTAAATATATATATCCATAAATATATATGTGTATGCATATACATATTCATATATACCATACCTGGTGTGAATGCTGGCCGTTGCAGCCGCTGGCACTGCAAACACCTGTGCCCGGCACCTTCAGCTGTTCGTGTTTGTAGTCCGGCTGATAGGGCAGCAGCATCCGGATTTTGCCCCAACGGTTGAAGAAGAGCGCTATTGCACCTGCCCACACCATAAGTACGATGAGTACAATACCAATCTCTACGCCTCGTATCTGTAGAAAAGGTAGATTTCATGCATTTTAAACGGCATCGTTTTAAATTAAATACTTATATATATATATAAAGGCAGCTCTATACCATATATACTCGTTTATCATAGACTCTCTCTTACCGTTGGCAACTCTCGGGACGTTCTGTGCGTCAGCGTATTGGTGGCTGTGGAGGTGACATCGTCGCCAAAGCTGGTGCCATTGCCGGAGCCATTGCGTCCATAGATGCCAGGCGGAAAGTCCTGCTGTGATGTATTTCGCGGCAGATCTATAAATAAAATATATAGTATTTAAAATATATACGAGGTTTGTATGATAGATTTTGCCATATAGTTATTTAAGTTAATGGAATGAAAAAACAAGTAAAATGTCTATATCTTTCTTTTAAGATATATCCGTAAGAGCTAGAGCCCAATTTTYCCATTATTATTATTTATTATACCAGACTATTACTTTCCAGATTATTTATATTCTAGTTTTGTTATATTTAAGTTGAAAAGCTAAATAGCTCTACTACATGACGATATTACTACTACTACTCCTACTACTAATTATGCTTATGCTTGTTCTCCTATTAATCCTACTACAACTTGTAATACTATTCCCCATTCTATTACTACTTTCTCTCCCATTACTCCTACTACTAATTTTACTTATACTTTTTCTCCTACTACTTCTACTACTAATTGTACTTAAACTTCTTCTACTACTCCTAATCCTACTTGTAATACTATTCCCTCTTCTACTACTACTTTCTCTCCTATTACTCCTACTACTGCTTGTCATAGTTTTCCCCACTGCTACTACTCCTACTACTATTTCTACTACTACTTCCTCTCCTATTCTTACTATTATTTATTCTGCTATTACTACCTTTTTTCTGCTTTCACTCCTATTGCTACTACTTCTCCTGCTACTACTTTGACAACTAACATAAAGAGGAAAGTTAGACACAACAGCTCGCTTGGGGTTTGTCCATAGCTTAGACAGACAAGGCCAAGTATTACAGTTTTACTTGTTCACATTAAGATCTACAATTCTTAAAGCTATAATAGTATAACTTAAGATTTATTTACTTTAGCTATAGACTTACCCAGCGTACGAAATTTGATTTGGCCGCGACTGCGATATCTTTTGCCCATCCAGATGGCCGTCACAGAGAGTGAATACTGTGTGCTGGGCAGCAGACGGTCCAGGACAATGGCCTCGCTGTTGCCGGCAACGTCCTGTACAACCCTGTAACTTAAATTAATTCAATTACCACTCTCGAACGTCAGCTAAGTGTGACAGGATGTAACTATGTGTATTGGATGCGAATGTGTGTGAGTGTGTGTGCGTAGCTAATTGCACAAAACTACAATAAATAGTTGCGAGTAAGACGTGAAATATGAGGACAGGTTTGTGGCTCGTAATTACAGCATGGGCCCAATATTTCACTTTGTCACTTTGCCAGGCAGTTAGCCAAACATGTCCTAGATTTTGCCGCCATACTCCACTCCACTCTATAGATATATATGTATGTAGAGATATATATGTATATGCATATAGTATATAACTGCTATGAGCTAACAAGTGCGTGGTTACCAAAGTCGCAGAGCTTTGCGTAGACTTCTGGCCTTTGCTGCAATGTCTCCTGTTACAGCAGCGCGGCCGCTACGATACAACAACAGCCTGACAAATGATTCATTATTCATATAGAGCACACAGCAGTTACAGTTAATACAGACACTAACACTAACACAGATACACACACGCACATACATGCCTTGGCGATGGGCCCCAGTGGAATCGACGCGTCAGCCATTGGAGGCTAAAAAACATACGCGGCACGGCTTTTGTTGCCTGCAGCCATAGCAAAAACATCGACTAACGCAAAGTGTGTCAATCAGTAAGCGATGGGTGACTATAAATACCCTGTAAAATTATGGGAGTGAGGAGAAGGAGGAGGGGAGGAAAGAGCTATTTGTTCGAATTCTTAATGAAATATCAACAAAATATACAACAAAATGTTAGCAGAACAGGGTATCGACAAGGGTATACCCTGTAAAATGAAATATGTACATAGAATTATAAATATAAATAAATTTTGGTCACTAAATAATATGCCCAGAATATTATAGTAGGCCGATAGTTAAGCTCTACGATAACTAAGTAATACCCTGTAAACTAGCCTGAAATGTAGATTATATCACACATATATCTAATATTTCATTTCTTATTATAATATATCAAATTCAATGGCTGTAGACTCTAGGCTTACATATTTAATCTCATTTTGAACCTTGAACCTTGAACCTCGAACTATATTTATATTAAAAGAAACTTGGTTTGGTCATAATCATATGCGCTATTTCGACCATATCAATTAGTCTGTTTCCAACTTAACAAACTTTGATTGGCACCAGCATAAAGTTAGTACTCAAATATTCAATCAATAATTATATACATATAATTATAATATTTCAAGGCTGATCAACTGTTGGTATTTAAATATTCTAACAAATTATATATAATTGTTTTTATTGAAAGGTGGTCTATACTCTTCGCATTTCAGTTAAAACACATTTTAATGTCTTTGTCAAATTTAGTTTAATGAAACAGACTATCAAAATATGAAATCATACAAGTAAATGACTTAAGAGCTTCAGTTTTATGCAAGTACATAAAACAACAAAGTTCTTCAATGAAATCAACAGAATCGATCTAGTTCCGCCCTGTCCTGAAATGTTATTCATAGGTGTTGTATTCATAGCTATAGTTCCCTTAAATTTATCGATCTCTCTTACTGAATTTCAATGAAATCGATGGAAGTTGCAGAGATTATTGAGGCCCCTCTGTCAATCTCTCCAGTTGCCTTCAAATTGTATACATAGCTCCTCCATTTAAAATTGGTTTTAAATATCTATAATTTTAAATCGAAAATATATTGGGTATCTCTTCGGTTCGGCACTCCCAGCTGGAGCATTTTAAATTGGGTAGTTAAATTTCGTTTAGCTTTAAAGTTCCGAAATCTATTTTGCTTTTAGCGTCAGAGACAAACATAAAAGGTAAACATAACTATCTAAATGTTAGCATAGTAGTATACAAAAGGTAAATTTGTACAGCTGCTGCGTGTCTACAAGGATATTAAGTATCCCAACTAACCATAGAAAACATTTAATTTCGGTTAACTGGCATTTGTGTCCCATTTAGCCTAACTTTGCTTAGCCAAAACATTCCGCTTGCTTTTCTTGAATGCAAACACAAGCACAAATGTTAAATGTGGTTCACAAATAATGTTATCCTCTGTACTAATATGAGTCGCACTCTCACACTCTCAGTTGCAGTCCCAGTTCACGCTCAAGTCTTTGACTTGTATAAAGCTGCTGTGTTCTCTGTATTCCCAGCATAACCATCTTATTTAGATATGAACAAACTGACATATATATATTTGCACAGAATGCTTTAGCTAATATGCCCCATGCACCACTTAAGTGTCTCACAAAAAAAAAAACCGCTTGCTATTATTTTTGTTGGCAGTTATGCAAACTTTGCCGTTAGACATGGCAACAGATGTGACAATGTCTAAACTTGGCCAGTTCCAGGTCGACCAGGTTCAAATCAAGTTTAAGCTCCACTGTCAGCTGTCGGCACATTGATTGCCCACCACAATTTGCACGCACAAGCCAAGTTTCGTGTGGCTTACGGGTGGGGCGGCTTAGAGCATTTAACTTTGGGGAATTGCGAGAGCAAGCTCTCTCGCTCTCTCTCTCTCTCGCTCTCTCTCTCTCTCTCATAAATGTTGCCAAAAAATTTCATATATGCTCTTTAGCTTTACCCTTTTGACCCAGTCAAACTTTCTCTTGGCTTTTCCCGCAAAACTTTTTTTGCTGCTGCTGCCACTGCTGTTGCTGCTGCCTCTTCTGTTGCTGCTGTTGTTTAAGTTCCAGGCCAATGGATTTCCGTTTGCCGTTGAATAAACAAACAGTTTAGAAAGCGCGCTTGCAATTGGCTACGCTCAACATTTTTTTTGTGTCCATTACTCAGACTCCAAAATTGCAAATTCAAGTTAAATATACATATACGTGTGCTCTATATATATATATGTGTGTGTGTTTGTGTGTGTAACATTTGGCTTGCCATTTTTAATAACTTATGCTGCACATACACAACCATACAGTTGCTTTTCATTTTTCTGTGTATAAACCGTTTGAGTTTATTGTATTGTAAACGCGTAACAACTGAAGCAGCAGGATTAAGGGTCAACACACACTCACACGCACACACACGAAGACATACATGTATGTATAGAAACATACATTGTGTGCGGCATGCTGAGTGGAAGCTTTGTCTCGCTGTCAGACACACGCACAGACATGTCTGTATACTATAAAGTATTGGCCATATAGAAATATAGCTTATAAATTATTAGTTTACATATTATTATTATGCTGCTGCTGTTCACTTGCCTAGCTCTATGAATGCACTGGATTTGGCAACTATTGAAGGGTAAGCCTTACAATTTGGAACACATAATCACGGGCATTCGCACCTTTGCTGTATAGAGTAGCAAATTGCAACCAGTTAGCGTGCTCTAATCGGGAGTGTCTGACTGGAAGCCAGCTGCACCCCAAGCAGAACTACTTTTTCAATCACTCTACGCTCACTTTTTTGGCATGCAGAGCAAACAAGACATGCATTAGGCATTAGAGGCTATGCCAGGGCTTAGCTCGTCGTCTGGACTGGGCAGTGTCTTCCTCTGTTTCATTATATACGTATAAACCAAGCCATTAGAGGAATTATACGAATTATCTATCATATTTAATAGGCTCAGCAGGGGCAAAGCGTACCTTACATATAGTCCTCCTTGTGAAGAAAGCATATATAACTAATAATGTATTTAATAAAGTACATTTTGTCCACCAATAGATGCAATCTCCTCCAATAGGCATTAAAAACAAGTAAGAAAGCTCTAGTCGAGACTGCTCGACTACGAGATCCCCTGAACCCTTGGAGTGCTAGCTATTTCAATAATTTTTCGCGTCTTTCAGCTTACACAAGAAACACACACACATACAAAAACACATACACATACAAGCACCCACGCATAAACACGCATGGGCTGCAGTGTGCGCTTACTATGAGAACTTAATTGTTTAATAACTTTTTTTGTGGACGTACGATCTTCATGAAACTTTCAGATTATGATTATAACATGAATATGCATGTAATTGCCAAAGCACAAGTCTCTAGTATTTGAAATACGCGTTTTACAAAAGTGAGGGTGAGGGGGTGAATTTAGAGGTGGGGGGTAAATTTTAACAAAAACCGAAATTGTATAAATTGCATATAAGCATANATCGATAAAAAAAGATCGGGATGAGTTATCGAATTTTAATGATAAACTCGATATCCGCGCTGTAATTACGAACATTTTACAAAAAATTTGAAGTCTCTAGCTCTTATATCTTCGGAAATCGACGCGTTCAAACATACGGACAGACGGACAGACGGACAGACGGACAGACAGACAGACGGACAGGGCCAAATCAACTCAGCTCGTCACCCTGATCAAGAATATATATACTTTGTGGGGTCTGCCACGCCTCCTTCTGCCTGTTACATACATTTCAACAAAACCATTATACCCTGATTTCCCATTTTCAATGGGTTCAGGGTATAAAAACATCTTTCGTCCCTTGGGTACATTCCAAGAATCAAATGGATTTTGTTCTGCCTTCTCAGAATTGAAGTACTATAGACTCACACCAAAAGCTGTTATGCAGACCAAATGAGATTAGGAAGGGGCAATCTTTGCTTCTGCTGTTGAGGGCGAATGGGCGAGGACATCGAATTGAAGCAACTGGGAAGTGTTTTTAATGAAATAAATTCATAGAGGCAGCCATAGTATATATGATTGCCAACAGCTGCAATGCTTATGGCATATACATATACATATATGTATATCCATGGTGCTCAACTTTTGTGTAACTCCAAAAAACTTTTGTAAGCTCCAACTGAATTAATGCTCCAACTACGTTGATTTGTCAGCAACTACTTTATGCAAATGCGACCAACAAAATAGCCCATGAAAACAAAGTTGGCTAATTAGTCCGAGGCCCAAAATAAATATAATTACAATAAAAAGCCAACTAAAAGTGAATTATTAAATTAATATGAAAAACATGCACATGCAAACCCGCAAAACTTTTAATTGAACTCAGCTCATCTATTATGTATGGCAGGTGCGTCACAGATACAATAAAAACTCACTGCCCCCATAATTGAAACTTAAAAAAAAAATACATTCATAATAAAGTTCTTATATGTTTATTTAATATGCTTAAAGTCTTTGATGAAAAAAAAAAAAAACCCGGAGAAAAGCTCTCTTAAGTATTTAATTGGCTTCAGGTGTTTCAGACTTCAGATTCCATGCCAAACTAAATGACTTAAAAGTTGCTCTCGCTCAAGTATTAGAGGAATACGAGGCAGAAGTTAATTAAGTATACGCCCTGCTGTGCAGCAGACAGCGCAGATTTCTCATTTTGAGAATATGTAAAATGATTTACCACCAGCAAAAATTATAAAGCAGACAAAATGCAAACCAATTAAAAGAGAATTGAGAAATGAGAATGGAAATGGGCAAAAGTGAAAAACGGAACAGAAACAAGTAAGAAAGCTCTAGTCGAGACTGCTCGACTAGGAGATACCCTGAACCCTCTAATCTGATATTCTAATCATTCTGCACTTCTTTTATGCACACATACATACACATGCATCCACACGCACGCATAAGCCTGCGCTCTGCTAACTGCGCAGTAAGCAGCGACTGCGGTTGGGCTGCGCTGCAGTGTGGGCAATATTATGAGAATTTATTTGTCGAATAATTTCTTTTGTAAACATATGATCTTAATGAAACTTTCAGAGTGTAATCATATGGTAAATATGTGTGTACATTCCAAAGCACAAGTCTCTAGTACTTGAAATGCGTTTTTTACAAATTGGGGGAGAAGGGGGCGTGGTATCCAAAATCTGTAAATTACAAAATCTTTGTATCGATTAACTTTATATACAACACAAATTTGAAGACTCCAGGTCTAAAAATGTTCAAATTAGGCTAAAAAAACAAAATCAATTTTTCGATTATTCTCGATAAAAAAGTTATCGGACGATTTATCGAAAAAATAAAGCAAACTCGTACTGCGTATGGTACACACGAGTATGCATGCCAAATTTCAGCTCTCTAGCTCTTATAACTTCTGAGATCGACGCACTCATACGGACGGACGGACGGACGGACGGACGGACGGACAGACGGACAGGGCTATATCGACTCAGCTCGTCACGCTGATCAAGAATATATATACTTTGTGGGGTCTGCCACGCCTCCTTCTGCCCGTTACATACTTTTTCACAAAACCATTATACCCTGATTTCCCATTTTCAATGGGTTCAGGGTATAAAAA